TGTTTGTGTGTCATATTGTTTTTGTTGTGTCCTTTTTTATTGTTTTGTTCTGTCTCTGTGTTGATGTATCTCATTGTTTATTGTGTCTTATTGTTTTTGTTGTGTCCTTTTGTTTATTGTTTTGTTCTGTCTCATTGTGTTGATGTATCTCATTGTTCTGTTCTGTCTCATTGTTTTGTATGTTATTGTAGGACACTGCCACCGGGTATAAACCCATTTGCAGTCAATAATAAATAATAATAATAATATTCTCTCAGTATTTGTATATGTATCAAATTCCTGATTCATCTTTTATGGTCACTGCATATAATGCATTTAATGAAGTAACTGTCTCATTTACTAGTCTGTGTAAATAACATTCAGATGATCTACTTAAAGCTGAAACATTTTAGGACTACAAAGAAGAAGTAAAACTATGCATCATCACAAAAAGTATAAGTACAAAATATAAAAAAATGGACCACTATTCAAATAAATTAAATGACCGAAAAGTGTACACAATAATGTCTTTATGCAGCTTAAGTTCACTTCAGCCACTTTTGATTATTTCAGCTTGTTAATTTCAATGCCCATATCATATGACTTTCTTTATGGCATGATGTAGAACAGCATTTATTATAACAAAGTTAAATTTGAAGGAAAGAATTTTTCAGGACCATCAGAATGTACTGTACTAACATTTTACTCTATTGAACACTGCACAGTTATCACAAAATAACCTCTTATATCAAACATCACTTGTAAATTTGCCTACAACATAATTCTATGTCCTGGAACATACAGAAGGTAAAAGTCTTCACACATCACAGACAACAGAACTCCAGTCGAAGTTCTAAACACACAACTTATTACCAGAATGTATTTGATATAGATATCTGACTAATGAGGGATACAGGGATAAAAACATGAGTTATACACGGAACAATTTTTATAGGACCATGTGCAAAGTAATGGAGAGATAAATGGCCATAGGGAATACCAGGGGTTAAATGGAGATATCATCTGACACAAGATACACAAACACAGAGTAGGCAAAAAGTACAGACAAAGATACAAGAAGAGCACATATAAGAGGACAAAGAATGAGTAGGGTTTATCCCAAGGCAACCCAATCTTGTGAAAAATCAATGGATAATTATATACCAATCTGCATGCATGAAACTTACAGCTTCCAGAGCATTGACTTCAGAAGGCAGTTCCTCGTAGGACGCCAACTTCAACTCAAACTCTGAGACAACTGTTGTGGCCTCCTCAAGTCCAGTGAGGACTATCTCCACACACTTCAACCTCTCGATATATAGGTGAGATGAGCTCCACAACTGGTTCCATTTGCTCAGGCACTTATCCAACTTGGTCTGCATGGCTGGAGTCTTGCGTGCCACACTGCGAAATGTTGCCTGTACATCTTCAATCTCGGGTCCCAGGGCCTACACAAATTCCCATTGACACAATTAAATTTGCAAGTTCAGACTCCAAAGCCATCTGATAGAGGGTCCTGAAGCATGGAGAAATCTGGAGTGGTAATAGACCTTTGAAAAATATTAAAATTAATGTAAAATAAAAAAGTCTGTGAAATGTGAAACATGACACCTACGTAAAATCTATATTTATCTTTCAGTCTGATGGTAATAATAATGAACCATTTGAGTTACACATTTCATCAAAGTTCTTGCAAAATGTTCAGAACCAGGCACAAGAACACAGTCAATATTATTATTCCATCCTGTGACACAAATAAACATTCAACACATAGTATAATGCAAAACACCATCTCCTGCCATATTTTGGGTGTATGGCCCACATCCACTCCAGATTTTACATTGTAAAAAAGTATGACATATACTCCATAGCATATACATAATGTCACGAAACAATTTTTTTAACAAAATTGAAAAAATGAAAGGCTCAATGGATTTGAATTATGCTTATACAAACTATGCTAGACATACCTAAGTGCATGAAGAAAAAAACATTTTCTCGTTCAGTTAATTCATTACAAAGGAAAATATTTTCAATTATGAATCTTAAAACTATGTGCTTTAATTATAATTCAATCACATTTGATACCAAAAAATGAACAACAAAAAACATATCTTACAGTGAGACCTCCTGTCTTGAGCTGATGGTTTAGTAGGAGGTTAAATTGGGGAGGGAACTGCCCTATTGCTTGGGGAGAGACTGAGGTTGAATAGCGTTTTTTTAAAAGCATCTCCTTGTTTCAGACTGTTCTTGATGGAAAATGAGTCAGATAAATATTACCTATACAAATTTTGCTACAGGTTTCATTTAAGCACATTTTTATTATTCTCATCAACTGTAGTGTTATAAGACACCTTCAGAGTGGGAAATAAGAACATGATAAAGGTCTTACTATGAATCTCCTTTCCAAGAACAAGTTTTGTACCTCCCAGTAATTGTAACATAGCAACTTGTGTGATATTTATTCTTTGAATAAATTCCAATAAGCACAGACTCACAGTTTTTCCTGTTTCTGTATAAATTCTGAAGTAATAGAAAGAAAAAAAATATATTCCTAAATTTAGCACAACTACTTCTGTCCCTGACAGAGTTATTGAAATCTATCAACCCTAAAGTCAAATGACACAATATATCATCATAATATTCATCTATCCCCACACCTGCAGCTGAGTTTCAAACTCCTTATGTTCAATAACTAGGTGTTCCAGTGAGTCAAGATCACGAGGGAGAGACGCAGCAGTACGAGCAGCCAATGTACGTTCAGCTTCATCCAATGAAGCCTGCAGTGACGTAATCTGGTCATTGAAATTACGGCTTGCATTCTTACTCTCCTCTGAAAGAGGAAAGACATAATGTAGGACCTCATGTCAATTGCTTTCACAAGCATGAGACATGACATACAGCCATAAACATTTAAAATATAAATTAACTTAAAAACTCACTGATTTTAAAAACTTTGTCATTCTTCTTCTTCTCTTGCCATAACCTCATATTTGAGTTACATCACAACACTTCACAGCTTTAAAACAAAATTCCACTTGGTCATATCCACTCCAAAAATACAATCAACCATAACCCACATACGAAAAACATATTTGTATGAAGAATACAGTTAAATATAGGCAAATCAATTTTATAAAGTAGTTTGTAGCTTTAACCTGTACTTCTGGAGCCATGAATGCTAAGTACTGTTGTGAGAAGCAAGCTATTTTCAAGTCTCATCAAAATATCCTCAAAACAAATATTATCAAAAAATAACGCATATTCAGAGTAGACATTAAATAACACAGTCAATAACACTTTCCTGCAGTAAGAATTCTTTGCTTCAGCATTCTTGCTTGTAAATCAGGAACTTGTAAGAACTAAATCTGGGCATCACGAAGAAAGATTCTGAAAACTATTCACTGCTTTTTTATACTTCCCAAGAACGATGCTCCCTAATTTTCTATGGATTAAAACTGCTTTGTGGACAGATATTAAAGCAGTGTTATGAAATAAGTGCATTTCTGCATTAATTTTTCTTAACATCCTATCACAACTTCACACTGAAATTTCAAAGTATGTTTAAAAAGCTACTATGTTTCCAAAATCAATATTTCAGAACATAGCCATTACTTCCAATCATAATTAAATTGACCTAAAAACACAGAAGAGGCTTACCTTCAGCTCTGGCACGTCTCTCAAAGTCATCAAATAGTCGGTTCACTTCTTCCATCTCCCGACGCAAGCGTCGCAGTTGAGGATCAGCTGGATCTCCTTCTTGTAATAGTTTATCTGCATCTTCATTCAAAGCTCTGCGAATGGCATTTCGCTGTTCTTGACCCATAGCAAGGAACTGTCAAGCAGATGTTTAACAACCAATATGAAAATTGCAACAATAAAGTGTATTCCCTGAAAGCACCATTAACAAACTGCATACATAAAACAATACCATAACATTAAGTAATAAGATGGTTTCTCCAATATGTGGTACAAATTAATTTTTTACACAATATTTAACTGCTATATTGCTTTACTTTGCATTTGTTATACATATCTACTAGTAATACTTAAGAATTACACATACTTTTTCCTGTCACTACTTAAATTTAAGAGTCTATGTTGGTCTTCTGGGTAATGCCATGTGGACTTCTAGATACATAATATTTACAGTTAACGTACTGCCTTCATCTTCAAGGCTGAGAACACAGTAGATGGAGACAATATGGTCCTCTGAAACCTAGAAGTCCAGATGGCATTACTACCCAGAAGAACGACCCAAAGATTCAAGACCACTAACACCAAAGCCTGCTAATGGACAAAATCCAAAACCACCTTCCATGGAGGAAAGTATGTGGAAAAAGTGTACACACACGTAAGATTTGATGTTTTCATGAAGGTGAAGATGACATGTTCTGCATAAACATACTGTTTCCACCTTCAGGGCTGAAGATAGAGATGGTATTTTTATCCAAAATGCTGGTATCTGCTTAAGATGCAAACAACAGAAATAAACAAAACAAAATAAATAAAAATGGAAAATGACAACATAGGGCTTTAGAGATCATAATAATAACTGACCAATCGGTTAAAACTGATGCGTCAGCGTAGCGGCAGTTTGTTTCCATCTTTTATTCCTCACTGATATAAAGATGAATTAATGCAACAGTCTGAAAGGAAGTGAGAAGGCTATGAAATAAGTAGTTTACCTGAGCCAGGTCCCAACTTTTGACCACTTTGATTGTGGCAAAGATCATGTTCTGCCTCATACGGAGCTGCTTCTTCTGCCACAGAGCAATAGAACGGTCAAACTGTCTCTTCAATCTCTCAACTGCATCAAGTGCTTCTTTATCAGGTGGAGGTACAAGGAAACATGTTCCTGGCACTGAACTCTCAACACCTGACGAGTTTGCAACTCGCCACTTCACGCGCCCAGAGTTGTCATGCAGAATACATTGTTCACCCTTTTCTATCACAATCTGTTCAAAGACAAACCACTTAGTTAGCTGCATCAATGTGGGTAAAAAAACAAAAAAACAAAACAACAACACTGAACATTTTACTACTGGACTTCACATTGGTAGTTCAAATGCTTTTACTTGATGCTACAAATTGTCAAGCACACTAATTATGCACTATAAGGATAACTTAAAATTAAAACAAATATTTCAACCAATTAACTCCCTAATCCATTACTGAATTCCGTGAACAATATTTGCAGTAAATTTGAAATTCTTTCATGACATGAAACATTACTGAACAGTGTTACTTAAATTAATTCAAGGTTTTGTGGTGGAAAAATGCAAGACCTCATATACATATTTCACCCTTAGAGTACACACTGTCACTGATGGGCATTCTCTCTCTTCCTTGTAGTCAATATAAGTCAGATCAAGCTTAAGTGCCTCCTGTTTCATCTCAACATATTAAAAATTAACATATCTTGATAGTTATACTTCACACAACATATAAAAATGAAATCTACTCACATTCACTTGTTTGTAGGCACAAATGGCTAGCACTTGCAGGGGCCTAGTCACTGGTTGTCGTCGCAGCTTTAAAGGCACAATGTCCTTGCATTTCTCTGACAATCCCTGTACTACATCACCATAGTGGTTCAGCTCTTCTCGGAGTTCCTGCATCCCACGCAACAAGCGCTCGCCTTCATCCAAAGTAAAATCTGACTGGCTGTATAATGTGTTCATGATTTCATCACGCCTACAAATAACACACTTTGTAATGAAGCTTGTTATGGCATAAACTCAATCATTACAAGTACAACAAATTCAAGCCTATTGCCCTTCACCACCAAGAGATTCAACCAACTCAGGAGTTAAAGGGTTAAACAGTGCCTGATGAGATGATCATAGGGCAAAGAAAAATCAACAAACACCTCATTCAGGGCAAGTGGAATTCCAGCCAGGGTCTGACTGAGGTAAATCCTAATATAAGTTTCAAATGTTGCATGTTGAACCAGTCTGCTCAGTGGAAGGTCCCAGCTTCAAATTTCAGCAAAGAGAGTAGCTTTCCTGACAGGCCTCTTGTGGTTTTCCTGTCCCTCCAGGCAAATGCCTGGATAGTACCTTAAATTTAACCACATCTGCTTCATTATTCACTAATCAACCTATCTTTTACACCATATATTAAAAAAACTGAGTAACTGTTGTTAAAAAAAAAGACACACAAGGTGAACTGGTTAAGAATATAGTACAGCCAAAATAAACATGGACTCATGGGTCCCACACAACCTGAAAATTCCTTCATCAGATGAGAAACAATCAATTGCCTATGAACAATTCTGCACTGTATACGTAGTTACTTAGTTAATAATATAATATACAGGTAGCCCTCGATTTGCGCAGGTTCAATTTGCGCCAATTCAGAATAACGCCGATTTTGAAACCAGCAAGTCAAAAAGTGAAAAAACGTATTTTACTATTATTTATAATGTTTTACAATGTATACTGTACTGATTCTTATACTAAATCGTAATTCTTACATCGCTGATTTTGAATAAAGATTATAAATGCAGTCATCTCTGCAATTATGTATGTTTCGTTAAAGCAAATTTGCTCCAATGAGATCGATGAATCGGTAAAATCTGTTTGTGAAATGCAAATTTTTGTATATGCGAGTTTGCTCTTATGCAGTTTCATTCCTGGCGCTTTAAACTTTCAAAGGACTAATTTAATCTCTGCGGAGGTACCGGGGTTATTTTTACTACGCGATTTTCTATAGGTCGGCGTCTTACACGAATGCAATTATAGCATAACAGCAGAGATGACCATACACATCAATCACATGAAAGAATTGCAGTCAATCGCGGGGACCAACGAATTGTCGATTGTAAGCGTATAAAATGTATTTTTTAAATTCCCTTTATTTTATTTACATTATATCACAGCTTTAAATGTAATGCCATTATATTACTCGTCAATGTTTGGGTGCTGGGAAGGCATGTCACTGACTTCCCATGGATTTACATTATAAAAGAGTTTCAATTTACGCCAATTCCGTTAATGCCGGTTCGTCCAGGAACGCATCCCCGGCGTAAATCGAGGGCTACCTGTATATGGAGTATTTTTAGTCTGCGAAGACAGTTCCACAAACTACTACTAGTTTCAAATTCACAACCAAAATTAAAGTCAGTATATTCAGTGAACCATCCTACAAATAGATTTTACAGCAAAATCTGCAAAATAAAACATACTTTGTGATCCACTCCTCAGCCTCGCGCACTTCTCGGTAAAACTGATGGTAGACAGAAGCATGTTTGAGGTGCGTCTCCAAACACAACGTAAGCTGTAGGAGCCATGCCCACTGTGTTTGCATAGCAGCCATATATGCTTCAATGCACTTTGCTGCTGGATGGTGTTGTAAAACAAGAGATTCACCACGGTCTTGGACTGCACTGAACTGTATCTCACGCTTCTCTAAGTCACTCATAAGAGACTGCAACAGGGAGAATGGGTAAATTTAGCAAACTGAACCTCAACTTAACAACACTTTACATTTGTTTAAAATATGAATAACTACAAATGGCTGAATGAACAAGAGTTACCAAATGTCAACATTTTCCTGCATATTGTATCTACCTCAATACTATGAAACTTTTTTCCCACTAAATACTCCCCCCCCCGTACATTTATCACAATTGCGCATCTTCAATCCTGTTGACTCTTTTATAAGAATCAATCTTACAAGAAATTACTACTTAACAAATCATTAATCATCTGTATGTTGGCCTCAGAGCCCCTTTATTTGATTATTTATCAGTACTTTTAAAGTCAATTTAATTATTCAGTTGATTATAACATTATGTAGTCAGGTACTGTAAACACAGCTTATTTTATTTAATTCTTCTGTGGCTACCAGCTGTGTAAGGTGGTTTAATGGGGAAAACACAAACATTTTGAGAACCATCTTTGTCCTCGTCCTCAGGTTACTGAAGTTGTAGAAGATCTCATCTGTGCTCGGGCACGGCAGGATCTTCTACAACTTCAGTACCCTAAGGATGAAGACAAAGATGGTTTAAAAGAGAGAGAGAGCGCACATTCAACTATTTACTTTAACTGTGTGACACACATGACACAAGAAAATAAAACAGTTGTTCTATTATACCATGAGCAAGGAACACAATTCTGAAGCAATAAATACATGTATTATCACAGCACACAGTTGCTGATGTTATTTTTGTTGCTTCTTAACAAGCATCTATAAGAAATAACGGAAACTAGCACAATCTGAATTTTACATAAATGCTGTAACATTCCAGAACATACCTTAACACGGAAATAAATGTGGTGATATAATAGCATACTGTCACTGAGGTATGCTGCACGCATAAACAGGCATGACACAAAGAAGTGTACAAAAAAAAAAAAGTTCATGCAAACATCATCTAAACAGTACAAACCTCACAGCCTGATCCAAAGGATCTCTGGGCATGGAAACAAAATAGCACATTAAGTACCTACACAAACTGATACATAAATCACATTAAACTAGTGGACATAACTAGTATCAAGAATGCAAAGCTTCATGCTCACAATACAGTACGAACTTTTCAATAAAGTGTTGAAATATCTCAGTTTCATGTAATGTTTTCACCTCCTTAGCATGTGCTACATGCCCCTACAACTTCATCCTCCTTGATTTTAATCATCATAACACAATCTAATGAATCGTATCTCTTGTGCATATTACATGTTCCTCACATCTCACCCTCCATGATGTAATCATCCTAACTATATCAGGTGAAAAGTTGAAGTTACAAAGTTCTTCACTGTGTACATTCCTTCAACCTTCTGTCACATATCTTTCTGAAGTTTAAATATTCTCTTTAGCATGCTGTTCTAAAATATCACCAATCTGTGTTATTCCTTTACAATGAGAAACCAAGTTGCACATCCACATACAAAGGATAACTATACAAATTTAAGAATTGAGGTTTTCACAGCGATGAGTATGAAGATTTCTGTCTTCTGGGTTGTTGCGCTGTGTAGTCTGGTCGATGTTTACCAACGTTTCAGAGGTCATACTGCCTCCGTCATCAGGGAGATGACAGAGGCACTATGACCTCTGAAACGTTGGTTAACATCGACCAGACTACACGGTGCAACGACCCAGAAGACAGAAATCTTCAAGTGTACAGTTATGTATCTTCAGGTTCTTAGCACACACGGACTTACGGTTGAAAGTATTTTCTGCATTTAATCTTTTAATCACTAATACAATTAATTAAGTACTGCATTATACTTAGCTAGAAGTTGTCACAGAATGAAACAATATTTCAGGTACAGAATATTCAACAACAAAAACATGGCATAATACATTGTTAATGAGCATCACTGAAAATGTAAATGGGGTTCCATATTATGGTCAACAACAGGATCTGCCCCTCACTTAATGGTACCTGCACCTTGTCGTGGTGGTGGGGCTTGAGTACCTCAGTCACCCAAGAGCTATGCTGGCGGTAGCATAGCTACTGGTAGGGCCTCCCTAGCCAGATTGGTCGAGGGGGAGAGGTCAGACTAAGACAGGTACCCTGGTCCTCCAGGTTGGGGGTTGGTCGCAAGGCTAACAAGTTTGCACCGTAAAAAGGAAGATGTTTCGAAACCTCAATCAAAGCCTCGGACAGACGGACCGGATGGAAGAGGAACATTGAGAAGGCTATGGACCATAGAAGAAGAAGAAGAGGATCTGCCAACATCTTTGTAACAGCCCTCTTCCATTTCACAACCAACACACAATGTACTGTTTGGCACATACTCAATGTTATGTCCATAATGGACAGTGAGGTAGATACCTCATTCTTACCTCATAGTACTGCTCAATAGCTGGGATGTTGAGATTCTTGTCACTCCAGTCCCGCGACAATTCAACTTCCTCTTTCTCATTAAGCCAGATAAGTTCATTGGTTGCTGACTGAAGGAAATCCTGAAGTGTTTCCAAGTCTGAGAGGCGTTTGTTGGATGTCACAAGTAGTTCGGCATACACCTTCTGCAGCTGGCTGAGATGTTGTGTGTACAGCTGAAGCTCTTCACCATGGAAATTGTTCTAAAACAGATCACAACATAAAAATAACTCAAGAGAATTTCTTGAAAAAGGGACAGCTGGTCAAGAAACTGACAGAGAATAAGAAACATTACGGTGGAGAAAAGTGTGTGACGAGCGTCACAATTCAAATTCTTCCAAAAATAATACTCGCATGATGAACCAAAGTAGGATGAAATGGGTGCACCTCGTAGCATGCATGACAGAGAAGAAATGCACACAGAATTTTTGTCATAAATTATATTGAGAAAAGGCCAGTTGGGGCACCTAGCCATATCTAGGCATGGAATAATAATACTGAAACTGGTTTTAAAACAAATAAGGTGTGACTGTGTGGACTGGAATAATCTGGCTCAGGACAAAATCAAATGGCAGGCTCTTTTAAACACAATAATAAACCTTCAGGTTCAACTGAAGATAGGTGATTTCTCGACTAGCCAATTGACAGATTCTCAGCAAACACCATCATTCATGGATGTAGTTAGTTCTGCTATAAAGTTTATCTAGGAAATGGAAACACTCCAACTTTATGTATTGCCAAGCCCTGATACTGTGGTGAAACTCACCTTGGCAGATACACAGTGCTCCACTCTGATATGGAATTGCTCAATATTCTTGTGTTCTCGTTGATGGATATCCAGTTCATTCTGAACACTGGGCAGGTCAGACCCATACTCCGCTTCTTGCAGTTGTTTCTAGGAAATAATTCACAGGACATAATAAACTTATGCAGGCAAAAACTTTTACAGAATCACACATTCCTAATATGAAACATTTTATGTAACATACATGGAAAATGAATCAGCGAGAGTAGCTCAGTGCAGTGATTTGATATAGGCTAGATGACAGGCTTTTATTCATGGCATATAAAACATTTTTCTCTTCATAAAACACAAAGAAGCAGCTGTGGAGCCACAGCAGCATAGCCACCTCTTTTTCCCAATTTTTGGTACTGCCCAACAATAAAATTTGTGACAGTGCACAAAAAAGCAAAACAGAAATCAAGTAATAGCTTACCAATTTGTTTTGACACCATTCAGTGCATTCCTGAAGCTGGCGGAAATGAATGTTGGTCTCAACCAGTCGAGTTTCTAGGACAGTACGTGTCTGTCGTGTCACTGTCCGTTCTTCCACTGGGAATGATATGGAGGCAAGTGGAGTGATAAGCTTTGAATGTAGCAGTGATCTGAGTGCTACCCAACGTTGGTGCAGCTTCTGAACTCTGGAGAATCAAATGCATAAAATGTGATAAAAAACATTAATAACAATTAAGAGTGCCTACCAACCAAAAATAGAATAAAAACTGCAAGATTTCAAGTTCTCATGGCAAAGAGTATAAAAATGACTGTCTTCTAGGATGGTGTGCTATGTAGTCAGATACAAGTTTACCACGTTTTAGAGTTGCTTGTTGCTTCCATTGTCGAGGAATCTGCACCTCTGAAACACTGGTAAACTTCTACCAGACTACAGAGTCCAATGTCCCAGAAGACAGTCATCTTCAAAAAGAAATTGTTCACTTCATTAAGCAGCATGCCATGAAGGCAGATAGGTGGAATGAAAGTTATGCTCCACAAATTCCCAACATAGGCATTTGATGAAGTGGACAGTCTGACGTTCCAACTGTCTACTTCAGATCCTTGAATCCACTGTAGAAGGGGCTGGTTGAACCCAAAAGCTCTTTGGAATGTACATATGAATGGACATGGCTATCCAGACCAGCGGAAACAATGGATTATGAACACAAACACCAAACTGCAGAACAACCTTAACAAGCTGGAGCACTACAGCATCTTCACTTGTTCCATGATCGGTGGTCGGGATCAAGGAATGTTCACGGTGTATCTAAATTCACTGACCTCTTATGAAGGTCAGGAGCCTGAGGATAGCGCCCATCTCTGAGGCTCTGCACATCTCCAAACAAACTATTGATGCTCTCCTCTGTAAGTCTTATGTCTTGCTCCAGAAGATCAACATTGTGCTTGGCATCGAGTGGGTGCAGGCGATCTAGCCGGTGAGCTTCATCTTCTACTCTTTGTTCTAATTCTTCTAAACGGGAGTCCACTTGCTTCATTTCACGATGAACCTTTTCTGCCAAACGCTGCAAGCGCTCCAATCTAAAACGAATATGAAACTTTCTTCACATCCAAAAGCTCTAGCACTTAACATTTCTAAGCATTCACAGTAAAACTGGCACATGATAGAAGAACTGTGTATCAGTTATGGTCTGTCTTTAGTTACAACGCATCTCGTGTGCTCTGGTTAATAAATAAATGTTTCCTTATACTCCACTAAGAAAACAGCACACCACATGAAAAATATTATTGAAACACAAGTTACAGATCTTGACGAGATCTACGTTTCAAGTTAATGCCAATTTGTTATAATTGTTATTTTAAGAACCATTCAAAAGTCTGATACCACCATCATTTAAAGAAGATATTGTATCAGACTGACATGGACCAAAATTAAATCTATCCAAAAACATTTGGCACTGACTCCAAATTCCCAGACTTCATCAAAACCCACAGGATAGTTTTGGATATAAAACATGCAGGGAGGCCAACAGACAATCACTTCCAGATAATAATAAAGAATGGCAGAAGGAAATGTCATAGTGAAGGCAAAGACAAACTGATATACTTTTATTATTATTTCCTTTGCTTAATACATTCAAAATTTCAGCAATACCATTAATTTATCATTTTCTACTCGCCTTTTGATCTCTTCAACAATGGCATGATCTCGTTCCTGGTGAGCCAGCATTAGTCGATTCCAGTTCTTTTCCAGTACGTCGATATGCAGCTCTGGCTCCATATCTACTTCTCCCACAGCTTCAAAGTACCTCTGTTTAACAAATACATTTCATAATTTTTAACAAATATATTTCATAATATAACATTACAACACGTCTTTTCATAGAGTTAGCAACAAACCACGATACCTGACATTTCTCTCGAACGTAATCTGACATCCCTTGTTTATGCAACTCTATCAGATACTTTACAAAGCATTTATTTAGAATAGTAGAATTAACGATGTATGAATAGTCCACACTACTGTCACAAGTGCAGAGCACAATTATAAAATAAACTGGTTTACATCAAACAGAATGCAAACAAACCACACAGTTACTTGCACAACAGAAATACGTAGAAATATACTGTGCCAATATTAACCACATTTAATTTAAACTTCAAGTGGAGACCGTCCCCAGCCTCTTGCCAATATCAGAGTTCACTCAAACCTATTCAATGGTATCAGTTGAAATACACAGATGTAAAGCTATTACCTCCCCTTCACACACTAATTTTGTAAGTTTAACACAAGTAATGCATAAACTGAGTATAAATAAACCAAGAATATATTATTTTAAGATTTCACAAATCATATACGTCATCACAAAAACCAGAAGATTAATGTAAGATTTGAGGTTTTCACAGTGGTGAGTATGAAGATTTCTGTCTTCTGGGTTGTTGCGCTGTGTAGTCTGGTCGATGTTAAACAACGTTTCGGAGGTCATACTGCCTCCGTCATCAGGGCGATGAATATGCCAATAGGGTGTAGGGCTAGGTTTATAGGTGCCAGAATGTGAATGGAGTAGCCTGCCCAGAGGCTTCATCAAAACCCACAGGATAGTTTTGGATATAAAACATGCAGGGAGGCCAACAGACAATCACTTCCAGATAATAATAAAGAATGGCAGAAGGAAATGTCATAGTGAAGGCAAAGACAAACTGATATACTTTTATTATTATTTCCTTTGCTTAATACATTCAAAATTTCAGCAATACCATTAATTTATCATTTTCTACTCGCCTTTTGATCTCTTCAACAATGGCATGATCTCGTTCCTGGTGAGCCAGCATTAGTCGATTCCAGTTCTTTTCCAGTACGTCGATATGCAGCTCTGGCTCCATATCTACTTCTCCCACAGCTTCAAAGTACCTCTGTTTAACAAATACATTTCATAATTTTTAACAAATATATTTCATAATATAACATTACAACACGTCTTTTCATAGAGTTAGCAACAAACCACGATACCTGACATTTCTCTCGAACGTAATCTGACATCCCTTGTTTATGCAACTCTATCAGATACTTTACAAAGCATTTATTTAGAATAGTAGAATTAACGATGTATGAATAGTCCACACTACTGTCACAAGTGCAGAGCACAATTATAAAATAAACTGGTTTACATCAAACAGAATGCAAACAAACCACACAGTTACTTGCACAACAGAAATACGTAGAAATATACTGTGCCAATATTAACCACATTTAATTTAAACTTCAAGTGGAGACCGTCCCCAGCCTCTTGCCAATATCAGAGTTCACTCAAACCTATTCAATGGTATCAGTTGAAATACACAGATGTAAAGCTATTACCTCCCCTTCACACACTAATTTTGTAAGTTTAACACAAGTAATGCATAAACTGAGTATAAATAAACCAAGAATATATTATTTTAAGATTTCACAAATCATATACGTCATCACAAAAACCAGAAGATTAATGTAAGATTTGAGGTTTTCACAGTGGTGAGTATGAAGATTTCTGTCTTCTGGGTTGTTGCGCTGTGTAGTCTGGTCGATGTTAAACAACGTTTCGGAGGTCATACTGCCTCCGTCATCAGGGCGATGAATATGCCAATAGGGTGTAGGGCTAGGTTTATAGGTGCCAGAATGTGAATGGAGTAGCCTGCCCAGAGGCAATGGGAGCAGGCATGGGAGTGAACCACTAGGAGGGCGTGGGCGAGTGTGAGAGAGGGAGAGAAAGGAAAGAGAGCGAGAGGGGGGCTCAGGAAGTGTGCCCGGTGGGACATTTGCTCCAGAAGATCAACATTGTGCTTGGCATCGAGTGGGTGCAGGCGATCTAGCCGGTGAGCTTCATCTTCTACTCTTTGTTCTAATTCTTCTAAACGGGAGTCCACTTGCTTCATTTCACGATGAACCTTTTCTGCCAAACGCTGCAAGCGCTCCAATCTAAAACGAATATGAAACTTTCTTCACATCCAAAAGCTCTAGCACTTAACATTTCTAAGCATTCACAGTAAAACTGGCACATGATAGAAGAACTGTGTATCAGTTATGGTCTGTCTTTAGTTACAACGCATCTCGTGTGCTCTGGTTAATAAATAAATGTTTCCTTATACTCCACTAAGAAAACAGCACACCACATGAAAAATATTATTGAAACACAAGTTACAGATCTTGACGAGATCTACGTTTCAAGTTAATGCCAATTTGTTATAATTGTTATTTTAAGAACCATTCAAAAGTCTGATACCACCATCATTTAAAGAAGATATTGTATCAGACTGACATGGACCAAAATTAAATCTATCCAAAAACATTTGGCACTGACTCCAAATTCCCAGACTTCATCAAAACCCACAGGATAGTTTTGGATATAAAACATGCAGGGAGGCCAACAGACAATCACTTCCAGATAATAATAAAGAATGGCAGAAGGAAATGTCATAGTGAAGGCAAAGACAAACTGATATACTTTTATTATTATTTCCTTTGCTTAATACATTCAAAATTTCAGCAATACCATTAATTTATCATTTTCTACTCGCCTTTTGATCTCTTCAACAATGGCATGATCTCGTTCCTGGTGAGCCAGCATTAGTCGATTCCAGTTCTTTTCCAGTACGTCGATATGCAGCTCTGGCTCCATATCTACTTCTCCCACAGCTTCAAAGTACCTCTGTTTAACAAATACATTTCATAATTTTTAACAAATATATTTCATAATATAACATTACAACACGTCTTTTCATAGAGTTAGCAACAAACCACGATACCTGACATTTCTCTCGAACGTAATCTGACATCCCTTGTTTATGCAACTCTATCAGATACTTTACAAAGCATTTATTTAGAATAGTAGAATTAACGATGTATGAATAGTCCACACTACTGTCACAAGTGCAGAGCACAATTATAAAATAAACTGGTTTACATCAAACAGAATGCAAACAAACCACACAGTTACTTGCACAACAGAAATACGTAGAAATATACTGTGCCAATATTAACCACATTTAATTTAAACTTCAAGTGGAGACCGTCCCCAGCCTCTTGCCAATATCAGAGTTCACTCAAACCTATTCAATGGTATCAGTTGAAATACACAGATGTAAAGCTATTACCTCCCCTTCACACACTAATTTTGTAAGTTTAACACAAGTAATGCATAAACTGAGTATAAATAAACCAAGAATATATTATTTTAAGATTTCACAAATCATATACGTCATCACAAAAACCAGAAGATTAATGTAAGATTTGAGGTTTTCACAGTGGTGAGTATGAAGATTTCTGTCTTCTGGGTTGTTGCGCTGTGTAGTCTGGTCGATGTTAAACAACGTTTCGGAGGTCATACTGCCTCCGTCATCAGGGCGATGAATATGCCAATAGGGTGTAGGGCTAGGTTTATAGGTGCCAGAATGTGAATGGAGTAGCCTGCCCAGAGGCAATGGGAGCAGGCATGGGAGTGAACCACTAGGAGGGCGTGGGCGAGTGTGAGAGAGGGAGAGAAAGGAAAGAGAGCGAGAGGGGGGCTCAGGAAGTGTGCCCGGTGGGACATTTGGAGTTCGGTTGAATGTGATCGGGGCCGTGAATAGGGCCAGGTTGGTTCTGGTGGTGCACTCTGGATCTCTCTCAGAGCCCTGATGACGGAGGCAGTATGACCTCTGAAACATTGGTTAACATTGACCAGTCTACACAGCGCAACAACCCAGAAGATTAATGTTTACTGCATTCACCATCTCTCTGATTCCCCAGTTCACTTCAGAACCTTCCACTACTCAAGTTAAAATGCTTCAGTAAAATGAGATTTACTTCTAATTCTCGGAAAATGTGCGTAAGTCTCTGTTTGTCCTTCTGCCGCGGTGGAACTTCATCTGTTCGAAAGCGACTTGATTCGGCAGCAAGTTTCTTCATTTCGATTAATGTGTTCGGAAACGTTCGATCCAACATGATGGATAATTTCTCCCTCATCCACAAATGAAGGGAGCTAGCAATGTCTCGATATTCGGCACTTCGTTGCTGTGATTCCTAATGGCAAACACAATACAAATTAGTTACATATTAGATGACACTAAATACATGTTCAGTCTATTTTGTAATGACCATCCACTGACATGATTAGACCTGGAAAATTTTTATTGTGGGTGTTGCTAGCCGGTACACAGATCAGATCAGATCATGGCATGAATAATAGAAACACGGTACTGTTGAGTAATTCACTCTATGAAGCACAGTCCTTGAGAAAGTGATATTCGTTCAGCTGGTCAAAAAATTGCCACTTTTTATGGAACCTGGAACTTCATTATTGTGTTTAGAAGAATTCACAACTGGACTGTATCATGAACCAATGGAATCTAACACAAAGTTGGCTTACTGACTGACTCCATGAAACAAGAGTTCTTCTTAAAAAGTTGCCAGTCAAAAAATAACCCACCTCTGAAAGAACCGGAATGCTCCATGTTCACTGCAGCCTGCCACCAATCCCTATCCTGGGCCAAATGAATTCAGTCCCCTCACTCCCACCCAATTTCCATTTTAATATTATCCCCCTACCCAGATCTTCTGTGTGGTCTCTTCTCTTCAGGGTTCCAAACAAAATTTTGTGTGCAATTTTCATTTCTCCCATAAATGCAATCCAAAAAATCACACCATACTGATTAAAAATTAATTTTAATAATAAACTGCCACCTATACAAAGGTCTTGCAAGTGGTCACTTCATTCAGGTTTTCTGATTAAAACACTGCGTACAATTCTCATCTCATCCTCCATGATCTGATCTGGCAAATAACAAATTATTACGCACAACTTCTACTTACGCGGTCGTAGAGAGGGTGTATCGGTGGAGGTTCGGGGAAGACATCGTACAGAGATGAGATATATGTAATGAGTGACTTCTCATCTGGTTCAGGGGTATCAACATCTGTAAGCACAAGACAGTAACTCTTTAAAACAACTTATCTTAATTCCCTAAAGCTCATTAGTAACTAAATGTACCAGGTGCTCTAACAGTGAGTAACTCTGCATTTTGTGTTTATGAGTTTTGTATTATTCTCAGAATAAACAGCGATTATATTCCCACACAACATTGACTAATTGATATTTGTAATGGAGATGAGTTTTATTTTGTTTCAGGTATGGACTCAACTGTTAAGCATTAATTACATAAGCTTCAGCTTCAAAGGGTTAAGATTATTAGTAAATTTCCTTGGGTAATTTAATAACATATTACTGGGCAAAAAGGATACAAAGAGGATTTTGTTGCCAATGTAACTATCAAGATAAAATGATTGGCAAAGGCACCTATTTAAGTACACAAATAACAAACGAAGAGAACGAGACTCTGAAACTCATTAGTACATGCAAAAAATGCATAAATTCATCAAACAGAATAAAAATGTAGTATAACATGAAGATAAAGAAGACAATTTCTGATCTGAGAAGTATTCATTTTTACATTCACATGCCTACTTCATATTTGACAGGTACCAGGTTGAAATCTCAGTCCCTCCATGCAAATTCAATTGTTAACTTAATGTTTAAATTCATTAAAGATACTGTATCAGTTACTGAAGTAACACTGCACTAAAAATAGATTACAGGATGATATGAATGACAAACTGTTAGCATCAAAGGACTGAGGATTGTTAATTATTGATTCTTGGTTTATTTTACACTTTCTCATCTGTCTGATTCAAGAATACCTGTGACCAACACCAATGTAAGTTGAATTCTTCACCACATACACATTCCTTGTTTTTTTTTATATATCCAGTACACACCATTCAGCATGGTGTGCATTGGTGGTTAGCAGGATTCACGACCAATCAGTACATGGGTTCGACCGGGACCACGACATTTAACGCTCGTGCTGTGACCCCCTTTTTTGCGAGATGATGATGAAAGTGGAGTAACTTTTTGGATGCCACGGAGAAACCGGGAAAATCCCAGAGGAAAAATTCTGTGTTGCCTAGACCACGGCCCTGCCCAACAAAAGTTGTAAATCTGAGCACCGCCGGGAATCGAACCCGGGACCCCAGTATTACAAGCCTAATGTTCTAACTGCTAGACTGCAGTGGCGGTATCATTCCTTGGTACCCTCACATCAATCAATGAGATGAAACTGCAAACATTAATTCTTTCTCACATATTGCAAGCTGCTGTTTTAACTGATCCTTCTTAAGGTGTGGCTTAACGCAGGCGTTACATGAACCTGTGCTGTTACTGCTATATCTACAATGAACGGAAGTTATAATACTATAGACAGGTGTCTGAACCACTCCACCCTTCTTGCTCCATCACCTGCGTCCATGACTCTCAACACTTCCTCCCTCTAAACAACTAAAGGTCTATTGAAGAGAAAGATTTTCCTCCCTGTTCGTTGTTCAAACTTATCCTTGTCTAACCTGACCTAGCCACGCCTAAAAACCCTAACTTACCCTAATCCATAACCATGCATCACTGTACGTGTTTAGACTAGCCTATTCTAATCTAACATAGCCCAAACCTTATCCACTCTAACACGGCTCTGTCATATCCTACCCTACCCCAACTCAACCTAACCTCCCCCAACCTAACCTAACCTAACCTAGACTAGACTGGCTCCAGATGAACCATGCAGCAAGACAGACAAAAAGATGAACAAGCAGATAATGCCAGCCTTATACACACTGTTCATTAATATCTTGAATTTGTGTCAGATTATGTTTTACTGACAAGCATGCTCAAGTGGAAAAACATATTAAGTGTCAAGAACAGTAAAAGATTACAAATACTGTTAACACATGTCCAATTAAGTTAACACAGACAGTATGATACACAGTGCGGCAACTGGAAAACGGGACTGATGCTGGAAAAAAATAATGGTTCCATGTAAGAGAAATCTGAGCATTGTTTATTCAAAGTAGCTTCCTCCTGCACCTATACGCTGCACACAACGACCATGAAGCAACTGGGAGGAATTGCGGATGGCCGTGTCTGGAATTCTGTTCAATACTCTCGTTACAGCCCTTTGAATGGTGTCCACGTCATCAAAACAACAGCCTTTCAGTGGTGCTTTGAGTTTTGGAAACAAAAAGAAGTCACATGGTGCTAAGTCCGGTGGATACGGTGGATGCGACAATACACAGACTTTTTTGGTGGCCAAAAACTCCCTATCAATGAGAGCCTTATGGCTTGGCACTTTGTCTTGCAACAGGAACCAACTGCCATCTTCTCGATACATAGGCCGTACATGACGGATTCTCTGAAGCAAACGTTCCAAAATGTCCAGATAGTAGGCAGCAGTAACTGTCTCGCCACTGGGTATGAACTCTTTGTGCACAATTCCCTCGCTGTCGTAGAAAATGATAATCATTGTTTTGATTTTTGATCTTTCTTGGCTCGGGGAGAGTTTGCTGACTTCTACTCCGCAATTTGTAGCTTTGTTTCGGGGTCGTACTGGAAACACCACGTCTCGTCACCCGTAACGATCGAATTCAGGAAGTTGGGTTTGTTTTCAGTGGCATCAATGAGTTCCCTGCAGTATTCAACTCGGAACTGTTGTTGATCGTCTGTTAATGAATGTGGAACAAACCGCTCACAGACCTTAATTTTTTTCAAATCCTGAGTTATTATTTGTCGAATGGTTTATTTATTAACCTCAGTGACCCCAAGAGCTACTGGTAGGGCCTCCCTAGCCAGATTGGTCGAAGGGGAGAGGTGAGACTAAGACAGGTACCCTGGTCCTCCAGGTTGGAGGTTGGTCGCAAGGCTAACAACCTTGCACCGTAAAAAGGAAGATGTTTCGAAACCTCGATCAAAGCCTCGGACAGACGGACCTAACAGAGGAGCGAATGGAAGAGGAGAATTGAGGAGGCCATGGACCGAATACGGACCGGAGAGCCATAGAAGAAGTTTATTTATTAACGCACAGATCCTCTGAAATCATTCGAAGCGTTGCACATCGGTTGTTGGTGATTCACCTATTCAATCAACTCTGGCGTTCGAATCGTTTTTGCTGGGCCAGGATGTTCATCATCTTCCAATGATTCTCTTCCATGGCGGAAACGGTTATGCCACTCAAAAACACGTGTACGAGACAGACAATTATCTCCGTACACTTGCTTCATCATTCGAAACGTTTCCGTGGCACTTTTGCCCAGCCGAACACAAAATTTGATGTTCGCTCTTTGTTCCATTCTTGATTCACAACACACACACAAGAGAGACGTCTACTTCAGCTCAAACTACGTTCTCAAACGGCGACAATGTGTGATGACCTTCGGTGTAGCACTCTAGGAACAATCTCTCTTTGGATTCATATTCACTTCTGGTAGATGGCAGCACCAGTTCATGCCTCATAACACCAGTCCCGTTTTCCAGTTGCCGCACTGCATTTTAGCCTCTCATGATAGACGCAAACAAGGGGCTGAAGTATTTTTTACCTTCAGGATCAAGAAGTCTGGTCACGCCATATTCCCTCTCTGCAACATTGAATGCATTCTCTAGGCGATCTCGTGCAATTCGTGATCGGATTGAGCGCCAGTCGATTAGATCAGGTCTGAAAACAAAATTACACTCCACGTATAGTCCCACTATCATATCATACCACATCACGTCATAAATCATATCAAATACGTATATTTGCTTACACTTGCCTTGCCAAAATGTACATAAAATTACTGAAGTAAACATACGATTTAATATTTAAAAACATTTCCTGAAACAATAAGTTACGTGAAGGGATTACAAGATTCCTTCCAAGTATATATCACCTCCAACTACAGTATTTAAATAACACAAAGGTACTTTTCAAAACCGGCTGACCGCAGAACAAGTATTTATAAAATCTCTATCTGTACTCTGATATTTAGCAAGGCACTTGAAATTACTACAGATCAACATCTGTCCATTACTCGTACTTCAGAAATTCAGACACACGACTTCTTCATTTAACAATCTCAGAAATATTCCAATTTTTTTGGAAATGTTTAAAAAATATGCAGTTATTTACCATACAAATTATTACGCAGCATAACAAAATACAAATATTTATCGAAGTCATTGTTAAAATAAATCAGATATTTTAGACTTAAAATAGTTTGGCAAAAATGCACAATACTGACTACAAACTCAATTCCATGCAAATTCTGTCACAGAGAAGCAAGACTTTAATAAAAAACATGGCAAAATATTAAAAAATACTTCAGTCCCTGGAGAGATTTTTATTTATTACATTGCCCCGTGCATTAGAGAAAAGTACATGATACATTTTTCATTTATTCACGTACTAATGAAAGCACACAATAAATTTTTAAGATTCTCTTAAAAACTGTCAAGTAATAGACACAATGACTAAATGCCTCTCCCTACATGTTTATTTTCTACACAGTCTGAATTTTCATTACACATTAATGACACAACAATTACAATTCTCCTGCAAATGTTCAAATGCAAATCACAGTTCGCCTATAATAAAAACAATTACCTGTTACGGTGAATAATAGCATTGAATGCCAAGCCATCGCGCCATGAACTTGTGAAGTCAGTGACTCGGACACCCGGATACTTGGCCGTTGAACGCCTCGCCCATCTCAACAATGCATCTCGCGCTGATACATTAGGCTCCTGGCCCACAACAATATCCGATATCTGGCGAAAGAATAAAGAAAATGTCAATAGTGATTAAACTGAAGTACACTGTATTATAAATGGGACACTCGGGCAATAATAAGTACTATAAGTACAGAATTTAACAAAATAGATATTTGTCAAAAATTCGAAAAAGTCGGCTGTACAGAATACAGACCTTTACCTTCATAAATAAATGCAAAAAAATTATGATCTAGAACAGGGTATGAAGAATGATCTTTCGCCTTGTATACATGCCAACAGTTTGCCTCAAATTTTAACCTTTATAAAATTTTACAAATATTAAATACGTGAAAATGCTCGGGAAGCCAAATTTCAGAACACGGGGTTGCAAGACTAGACCATACACGAGTTCCTATTCTACATTTCTGTTGGCAGACACGTAGATGATACATTTCAATGTGTTTGTGTTAAAAGGTTTGTAAAAACAAATGTCTACATTCTTTACAATTTGCTAAAAATAAAACAGAAAAAGGAAACAGTACTCCTAGCAAGATTTTAGGTTCTCATGGTGGCAAGTATGAAGATGTCAATGCTCAGGGTTGTTATGCAATGCAGTCTGGTAGGAGTTCATCGCCAACGACAGGAAGACCGCCATCTTCACAATATTCCTTACTTGTAACTCTACACATCAATTAACAAGGTACGAAAACATAAACTTCGTGAATCTGTCTCTACAGAAATTAAGTTCGTTGAAAATTAATATTGGGAATTAAATCTGAGACAAAAATAATTGTTTTGATTATCGAATTAACACCACTACTGAATTTAAAGTTTGTTAGATATTTTCAGGAGTATCTAGTTAAACATCACATTACAGAATGTTTATGCACGGTTGTAGAATTTTACGAAATGAAGATTGTCGATATTTTTACTTCCAGTAGTTTTATCTTTCTAACACAAGCTAAACTCTTGGACTTCCAAACAGGGGCATAGTTTTTCTCCTTGCTATCACATCCAGGCCAGCTCATATACACTCCTATCAATTCCCCGAGGGTAAAGTGGCCACAGCGTGAAACTGCCCGATCACCTGCATGTAGTATCAAGTTAACAATGCAATCCCCTACTGATATTTATATTTCTCTCTCTGGGGGTGGGTGGGTTTTGGTGCCAAATATGCATTAGAACTATTTCATTCCCTGAATCATATCCGGTACAAGTGAACAGCTTGGCATAGCAAACGATTTCGCCATTCGACATCACAGACGACTTAAAAAGGAATAAGAATGAGTATATTGAAATTTAAACAGCAGATATATGAACGCACGCACTGTATTCACAATATGGCACAAAATACAAAAAGTTTAATGAACTGTAGACTACAAGAGAGAGAGAGAGAGAGAGAGAGAGAGAGAGAGAGATGGCAGACGTTTGAACTCTTGACATATTAAGAATATGAGCTACCAATTCATATACAGACTGAGGTACTTGTTGGTTATCGGGACACAAAATGGGAGAGTCGAATATCTGGACTTGGATTGGACGGAAAACTGCGCATGCGTATTAGTATACCCGTATACTCGGTTGTTGTTATCTGTTCGTTTAGTTATTTATTGCTGTTCGGTGCCCAAACAATAGAGAGAGAGACTAGACTAGACTAGACTAGACTAACCTAACCTAACCTATTTTTAAAGTGATGTGTCCCGATAACCCACAAGTAACCAGACTGATAATTACTAACATCTAGACACAGAGAAAAACTAATAAAAGGTATGATGATTGTAACACGTAATATTCATATAAGGCACTGGTAGCTAGATTAATGCATCATTATGCATTGTTCCTCAGAAATTTATAGTTTAATAAGAGTAACAGGATTAATGATGAAACATGAGCTTGGTTTACTACAACATTAAGTCAATAAAAAAATTTTGATATAAAAAACACACGTAAAATGGTCATTTGGACAACTAAGTAAGGATAACAGAATGATAATTAAACATTTTAGGGAGATGGTTAAGATGGGAGAAAGATGGAATGGCTCGATATGATATCCAATAGCAGAACGTGTTAAACTTTGGGTTCTCCTTGCAGTGCTATTTCAGTCATCACATTTTCACACTTTTTCATCTTTGAGTGAGTATGCATGTATTGTCAGATCTTTTTATTTAGTGTTCTGTCTGACGACAGGTCCATATGAACAGGATCCTTGCATCCTTTTCTCGGACTGGGACCTGTTCATATACGTTCTTGACAGATGATCCAGAAGTGGTTTGCCATTGCCTTCTTCTGTGTGTGAATGGGATGCCACGGAGAAACCGGGGAAGCCCCCGGAGGAAAACTCCGTGTTGCCTAGACCACGGCCTTGGCCAACACAAGTTATAAATTCGGGCACCGCCGGGAATCGAACCCGAGACCCCAGGATTACAAGGCCAGCGTTCTAACCGCTAGACCACCGTGGCAAGTACAAAATGTGCGGCATATTTATGACACAAATTGTTTTATTTTTCTATTTTTAAATATTTCAGCAAATGATATGCTCAATTGACATATCCTGTATTGAGAATGTATGCTGATGTCCGTCACTTTGTACAAGATGAGGTATTTGGTTTCAGTATGACACTGTAAAATTTAGAACACCAGCAGTCTGAAAGTACTGGATCAGTCAGGAATTTACATACCTCATTTTGCATCTTCACCAATTCCATCTTGTTGCAAACACAATTAAAATCCACAAATTAAGGGGCACAACAAATTGTTAAATATACTTCGTGATTAATAAATCCTGCTGTAGTTGCAATTCTTTACGAGAAGAACTGTATATTTTCACTTGCTTGTTTCTATCAACAAAAACTAAAGGCCAAGCTGAACTGCAAATATACCAGATAAATAAGAATGTATAAACTTAGTACTGATACTTTAAACGTCACCTAGTGAGTGATAATATTGCTTTTCGATTGCATAAATATTTTCTGTATTGTATCATACAAAAATATAATTCGAAAGAATTTTGACCCCCAGTGGAGGACCCTATCCTCAAACACCTGTCACAACCATTACACAAGGGGAAGCAACAGGAAGGAAGAGATAATTACATACGAAGGAGCTTTGCCTTTAATTTGTTAGGTGTGGTAAAATAAAGAAAAATAAGATTGGAAGGGCTTGTAGTACACATGGTAAAATACATATAGAATTTTCGTCGGTAGACCGCCACGGTGGTCTAGCGGTTAGAACGCTGGCCTTGTAATCCAGGGGTCTCGGGTTCGATTCCCGGCGGTGCCCGAATTTATAACTTGTGTTGGGCAAGGCCGTGGTCTAGGAAACATGGAGTTTTCCTCCGGGGGCTTCCCCGGTTTCTCCGTGACATCCCAACAATTACTCCATTCACACACAGAAGAAGGCAATGGCAAACCACTTCTGGATCATCTGCCAACAACGTATATGAACAGGTCCCAGTCCGAGAAAAGGATCGAAGGATCCTGTTCATATGGACCTGTCGTCAGACAGAACACTAAATAATAATAATAATAATAATAATATCGAGAAAGAGTACATTTGGAAAACCCTGGCATACACAGATGGATAAACTGAAGTTCAAAAGGCATATGGCCCATCGGCGGGTCCTGTGAACAAGGTAATGGACCTCTTAGTTTCGAAAAGCAGTGAGTTAACTTTGACCAGCTGAATAACTATCATATTTTTCAAAGAACCTTTACCAGGGCTACTGGCCAATATCAGACCATGATCTATTCAACACGCCACGTATATTATGTACTGTTATTTATAATTGTGTCTGATAAATGAATGGCAACTATTATTAGGAACAGCGTGCTTATATTAAGTCACGATTCCTTAAGTTCATGCCCTCGTATCACATGCCAGGAACGCAAGAGGCACGAACAGGTTATACATAAGATAACGTCCAATGACCTTCTACAAGTCTAGCCTGTGCGGTATTTCAGCTCACTGCAAGTTCAGTCTGTGAGAAACTAAGCTGATTCATACACACCGTGTGCCATGTGCAGCACATCCTCCTCTAAACATTCTCTCAATTTAAGTGACTAACAAACTTTAAGCACAATAACTCCTCGTTTTACCAACGCTCAATTAACATATTTCACGCCACAATTATGCTGGTCGCCGGCTACTGTCCGTGATATGTTTAATATTGACAACATTTCGGAATAAAGCATTCGTATATATCTTCTTTAAAAGTATAATTTTTATCCGAAATAGTGTTTGTAATAAATATTTTAGACACGCTAACTTAGGACATAACGCAATTTTCATATTTTTATTTTAGCTGGGTTGTATGAAACACTTTGATACAGTTGTGTCGACAGTGTGAAATGTATCGCGTTCACGTGTTTACGAGAACATAATGGAACACTCCAATACACAATACAACTCTTCTAAAATTGGTCTTGAAATGCAAAAATAGTGACAGTAGGGGTTTCATGGCCATTGGGTCCAACAAGAAAACTACGAGGTGCGATCGGAAAGTTTCCAGACTGCGCGTATAAAAACCCGTACACTTATCTCAGGTATTAAATTCATCCATCACCCTCAAAGTAGTTCCCCTGGGAGTGAACAGCTTAGAAAGGAAGTTTGGGTCGGTTCTTGCAAGATCTTTGAGTTCCTGACAAACGAGAAGTCGATTCTGCTTCTGGTCCTCAGACAGGATGTGTCGCATGTGGAGTTCTTCCTTTAGAATCAGCTGACAGGTCCCATAGCCTATCCCAGCAATGTCGCACAAGTCGTTGATGGTACGACGTCGATCTTCGTGAATGGTCTGCCGAATCTTCGTACCATTTTCGGGCGTTGTGCTCGAAGATGGTCGTCCAGAACGCTCGTCATCTTCGACAGAGGTTCGGCCATTTTTAAAACGTGAATGCCACACAAAAGTTTGTGCACGACCCATTGCGGACTCCCCAAATGCTTGCTTTAGCATTTCATAGGTTTCCGTAGCCGTTTTCGCGAGTCTTTGGCAAGAGATTCAGGCAGAATCGCAGATGGTGCTTGACAGGCTGACAAAGAAAGATTTCCAGGGACGCTTCCAT